AGAGTCATTCAATTTTTTCATTCGCTATCTTCACCATTGGCAGGCTATTTTTTGGTATTTTATATAACATATATACTTACATATTTAAACATTTTATAATGAATTCATAATTATCATATTTTCAGGCTGAATAAATCAAATGGCTAAAATATGGTAGGCACTTATGACGCTGCTTTGCTATCTCTTTTGTCCAATTTTTGTCCTTTACTCGTTTGTTTTTATTTATCTCGGAAATTTAATCTGGCAAACTTTAGGCTGATCATATTCAGGTGACCAAGTGCAGCATCCTGGGTTATTTAGACGAGGCCGTTATTAACATCATTGTGCCTTGGTTCTAAATTCGTGGTAATCAGATAGGCAAAAAAGTAATAATGATCTCTGTATTTTATTTTGCTTGTGATGCAAATTGCGTCGTTTTTATGCAGGCTCTTGTAGATCGGCAAGCTTCTTGATTCTGTTGTCGCTTATTTCCATCGATTTTCTGCCCCAGCCTCAATACTTCTCTGTGCATCAATTTTTTGAACATTTAACTTGCATATGTATCGTTCATTTTGGTTAGTTTGACAACATACAGCCTTCCATCCAAGGTGATTCAATGTGTTTTTTCTCATTTTTAACTTGCCTTAAGAGAGGTGGCTTGACCTTGTTTTCACAACTTGGTCATATTGGCAGGAAGACATAGAGGAACGCACAACGTCCAGAGTCCATAATATGCACGATAATTTCCAGAGTCGGACCGCAGACTTGGTACATTCTCAGACGTTTCGCCGGCATCTTCAGTGAGCCTTGCCATTAGCACCACACTACTACTAGTCAAAGAGACAGGTGAATTAGATCCTTTGGCCAAATGTGTGCTAAACAGTTGTATCTCTCCTGTCCTGGGCCATTCACTTATCCTATATCCCCGTATTACTTCTTAAATATCACACTTTCCTACTTGTTTATCTAGACCTATTTGAAATTTATTCACATTCCCCGCTGGTTTCCTCATCCCTCCCACTGTGCCGAGAGTGTTGATTCAATGCTGTGGTTTAATCCGGAATCCTCTCTTTTCGAGTCCTATCAGGGTCCCCTCTTGCTCCGTACGATCCTTCTCTTATCTGCCTGTTTCAGTGATTTCATTCCATCGCTGCCACCATATCCGTACTACTTTCCAGGCGTTGTTTTTCACTCTACCTCAAACCTTAGATAGCACATATACACCAACCCCACTGAGCAAGCCCCTAAAGTCTGGATTCTCAATTGGCATGGCAACTTAACGTGACGCTGCAAATTCCCTTATAGTTGTGCGGCATCTACACAGAGTAAATCTCGTGGTCAAGCTCTTACTTCATGGACCACGTATATGAGCAAACTTATCTAATAATAGCCAACTAGAAATGTCTACTACCATTTCTCTCGCTCTTCTATGACATTATATTGCGTGTGTCCCCCAAATATAATGGTTCTACTTGATTTGAATAGGCTTACTGTAGGCGTCGTCTCTTGTTTTCCTTTTGTCCTTCTCTGGCCTCTTAATTTCTTTTCTTAAAATTAAAAGTGTTGCCTTTGTCCAGTCGTCTTCTTTTTGCTGATATTCTTGTTCTCTGATCTTCTCCTCGTTTGTTTAGGCAGCATGCAAAGTTTTCGCTAATTCTGCCTTCTTCAATTCTTCTGTTCATTAGGCTTACTTAAGTCAGGATATCAATTATTTCTCGTATCTTATGTTTTCTTGTATTTTCATCATATGCAGCCAGTCTTTCTGTCGAGACTGAGGATTAAGGATTATTCCCGCATATGGATTCTTTCTGTATAGTCTCCTCATGAGTCTCCCGTTGGAGCGATTGACCTCAATATCCAGAACGGGCAGTCGTTTATCCTCCTCCACCTCCATTGTGAATTTAATTTTTTTCATCAAGTTTGCTTATAAAATTGAGGAATTCATCCAAATTTTCCTTACCATGCGACCAAAGTGCAAAGTAGTCGTCCAGGTA